ACAATGGAGAAAAGACAGCCTCTTCAATGAGTGGTGCTGGGAAAACTGGACAGCTACATGTAAAAGAATGAAATTAGGACACTCCCTAACACCATACACAAAAATAAACTCAAAATGGATTAAAGTCCTAAATGTAAGGCCAGACACTATCAAAGTCTTAGAGGAAAACATAGGCAGAACACTCTATGATGTACATCACAGCAAGATCCTTTTTGACCCACCTCCTAGAGAAATGGAAATAAAAACAAAAATAAACAAATGGGGGCTTCCCTGGTGGCGCAGTGGTTGGGGGTCCGCCTGCCGATGCAGGGGACGCGGGTTCATGCCCCAGTCCGGGAGGATCCCACGTGCCGCGGAGCAGCTGGGCCCGTGAGCCATGGCTGCTGAGCCCGCGCATCCGGAGCCTGTGCCCGCAGCAGGAGAGGCCACAACAGTGGGAGGCCCACATACTGCAAAAAATAAATAACTAAAATAAAAAATAAACAAATGGGACCTAATGAAACTTTAAAGCTTTTGTACAGCAAAGGAAACCATAAACCCTCAGAATGGGAGAATATTTGCAAACGAAGCAACTGACAAAGGATTAATCTCCAAAATATACAAGCAGCTCATGCAGCTCAATTATCAAAAAATAACAACCTAATCCAAAAATGGGCAGAAAACCTAAATAGACATTTCTCCAAAGAAGATATACAGATTGCCAACTAACAAATGAAAGGATGCTGAACATCTCTAATCATTAGAGAAATGCAAATCAAAACTACAATGAGCTATCACCTCACACTGTTCAGAATGGCCATCATCAAAAATCTACAAACAATTAATGCTGGAGAGGGTGTGGAGAAAAGGGAACCCTCTTGCACTGTTGGTGGGAATGTAAATTGACACAGCCACTATGGAGAACAGCATGGAGGTTCCTTAAAAAACTAAAAATAGAACTACCATACGACCCAGCAATCTCACTACTGGGCATATACCCTGAGAAAACCATAATTCAAGAAGAGTCATGTACCACAATGTTCATTCCAGCTCTATGTACAATAGCCAGGACATGGAAGCAACCTAAGTGTCCATCGACAGATGAATGGATAAAGAAGATGTGGCACATATATACAATGGAATATTACTCAACTATAAAAAGAAACGAAATTGAGTTATTTGTAGTGAGGTGGATGGACCTAGAGTCTGTCATACAGAGTGAAGTAAGTCAGAGAGAGAAAAACAAATACCGTATACTAACACCTATATGTGGAATCTAAAAAAAAAAAAAAAAAATAGGGTTCTGAAGAACCTAGGCGCAGAACAGGAATAAAGACACAGACGTAGAGAATGGACTTGAGGACACAGGTAAAGGGAAGGGTAAGCTGGGACGACGTGAGAGAGTGACATGGACATATATACACTACCAAATTTAAAATAGATAGCTAGTGGGAAGCAGCCACATAGTACAGGGAGATCACCTCTGTGCCTTGTGACCACCTAGAGGGGTGGGATAGGGCGAGTGGGAGGGAGATGGAAGAGGGAGGAGATATGGGGATATGTGTATACATATAGCTGATTCACTTTGTTATACAGCAGAAACTAACACAATATTGTAAAGCAATTTTACTTCAATAATTATTTTTCTAAAAAAAGCTCCCAAACTGGGAATGCCTAAAAGGTAGAAGAAGCCTGTATCAGTTTTACGCAAATAAAATTTTGTTATTCAAACTCTTCAAATTAAAAAAAATAATAAAAATTATAAATAAATAGATAATGGGGGGAGGACTATAGCCCTGACAGATATTAAAGCAAACTATAAACCTGTTAAAAGTAAAGCACTGTAGAGACTTCCCTGGCAGTCCAGTGGTTAAGACTTTGTGCTTCCACTGCAGGAGGTGCAAGTCAGGGAACTAAGACCCCATATGCCGCATGGCACAACACTATAGTGTTGGCACATTAAAACAAAAAAGATATTCAGAAATAGATTGCACTAAGAGTGGAATATAAAATAAAGGAGACTGGGGAAAGAATTATTTCTTCATATATGAAAATAAATTTCAGAACTAAATGCTAAAAAATTTTAAAAGTATGGAAAGGAAAAATTTTGCTAAATATTTACTTTTTGTTAAATGTAAATGTATAGATTTTATAACCAAAAAGAGTAAACCTTCTATACAGTAAAAATGATATAACCACGGCTTCCCTGGTGGCGCAGTGGTCGAGAGTCCACCTGCCGATGCAGGGGACACGGGTTCGTGCCCCAGTTCGGGAAGATCCCACATTCCGCGGAGCAGCTGGGCCCGTGAGCCATGGCCGCTGAGCCTGCGAGTCCGGAGCCTGTGCTCCGCCACGGGAGAGGCCGCAACAGTGAGAGGCCCGCGAACCGCAAAAAAATAAATAAATAAATACTGTTTTAAAAAAATAAAATAAAATAAAATAAAATAAATTAAAATGATATAACCAGACTATAAATCACCAGAAGGGCAGACTTTGTCCTAGTCACTGCTGTATCTCCAGAGCTTCAAATAGTATCTGGTACATTGTAGATTTGTAAGCAATTTACTTTTTTCAAATGACATCATTCAAGTCCATTCTTTTGGATCAAACTTCGATTTTTTTACACTAAGAAATGGTTTAAAATGTCTACAATTTCTACCCCAAAAGTGAGCTGAATTGTGATAAGGATTGCATTGACTCTATCAATCAATTTGGGAAGTACTGCCATCTTACATTAAGTCTTCCAATCAGTGAACATGGGATGTTTTTCAAATTATCTAAATAATAGTTTGTAGTTTTCACAGTATAAGTTTTGCTCTTCTTGTTAAATTTATTCCTAAGTAGTGTATTCTTTATGATGCTATTGTAAATAGAATTGTTTTCTTACTGCAAGTTTTTGATTGCGCATTGCAAGTGTATAAAATTACAAGTGAGTTTTGTATCTTTATCTGGTATCCTGTAACCTTGTGGAGCTCATTTATTAGTTCTAATAGTTGTTTAGTGACTTCCTTAGGAACTTTTATGTACTTGATCATATCATCTGCAAATAGAGATAATTTTACTCTATCCTCTCCAATATGGATGTCTTTTATTTTTTTTCTCTTGCCCAACTGCACTGTCTAGAACCTCTAGTACAACACTGAATAGAAGTGACAACAGTGGACATCCTTGTCTTATTCCCAATATTAGAGGGAAAGCATTATGTCTTTCACCATTAAGTATGATGTTTAGCTGTGAGTTTTTCATACATGTCCTTTATTAAGTTGAAGAAGTGCCTTCTATTCCTAGTTTGCTGAGTGTTAGTGTTTCATGATGGAGTATGGGATTTTCTTAAACGCTCATTCTAAGTCTATTGAGACAATCCTGTGATTTTTGTTTTCATTCTGTTGATATGAATGTTACTTGATTTTCAGATATTAAATCAATCTTGCATTCCTAGGATAAAACAAACTGATTCTCAAATTCACATAGAATTTTAAAGGACTCAGGATAGCCAAAACAACCTTGAAAAGGAAGAACAAAGTAGAAAAACTCATACTTCTGAATTTCAAAACTAAGTACAAAGCAAGGGTAATTAAGAGAGTATGGTACAAGCACAAATACAGAGATATAGAACAACTGAATAGACTTGGGAGTCCAGAAATAAACCCATATATCTATGGCCAATTGATTTTCAATGAAGGTGCCAAAAAACATACAGTGGAGAAAGAATCATCTTTTCTAAAAATGGTGCTGGGACAACTGGATATACACATGCAAAAAATGAAGTTGAACTCTTACTTTGTACCACTTATAAAAATTAACTCAAAATGGACCAAAGGTCTAAATGTAAAATCAAAACTGTAAAATTATTATAAGAAAACATAGAGGTAAACCTCCATGACCTTGTTTTTGCAAATTATGAGGCATGAACTTTACAAGTGCTTCAATCTTAAGCATTCAAAGAAATTGTTAGCAAAAGTAGTAAAATCCTCAAAAAGCAATAGGCAAAGATAAAAAAAAACAGCCAATTCACAAAAGAAGAAATACAAATACCAAATAAACGCACACAAAAAATTCCACATCACCAGTTATTGAGAAACAAAAATGAAAACAAAGCTCATTTGCCTATCAAATTACCATGGTGTTAAGGAGAGGGCCAAAAACAGCACATTAGATATAGATCCAGATATGGATATAAACATAGATATAGATACACATACACTATACATATTGATAAATGGAATATTGCCTGCCGTATCAGTAAACAAAGGATGTCACAGTTATCAGTGATTGCAGCCACCACGGGAGGGTGAGCTGGTGAGCCCTGAGGCAACTCAGGATGTGAAAACACAAGATACTGACCCCAGATAGCTGAGGTACATATCAAAGAAATGATTTCATTGAGCCCAGACTCTTGCATCTTCCCAGTCTCAGAAAAGTGATAAATTCCTTGAGATATCTAGTTTTCTTTTATTAACAGTAATCTTTTGTTCCTACTACCTGCCCTTTGTTGCAAAACTCCTATATATCCTAGCTCCCCGGTTGCCTCCTCGGAGTAGGTCTCTCAGGGTTACTTGAGATGCTACCTCCCAGGCTTTAAATCCTAAATATTCCCACCGAATAAAACACAACTCTCAACTTTTAGGTTGTACTTTTTTTTTTTTTCAGTCGACAATATGCATACAGGTGTTAGATGGATGTTAAATTACTTTTAAAAAATTCCCAGACACACACACACACACACACACACACACACACACACACACACACAGGAAGGAAGTATACCAAAGGGGTATTAGTGGTTATGCCACACTGTAAAATTATAAATATATTACAATGAGAGATGAGACTTTCCATTTAATGTAATAAAGGGAATTTAGAAAGCAATGAAGAGGGCATTTTAGAGAGAAATATAGGCAGCTACCCATAGCAGAGTGATCACAAAAACGTTTCTGTTGCTACAACCCAACAGCCAGGAATGGAGACAACAGGTACCATAGGACACACTCATCCATGTGGCAAACATCCTCATTCATTACCTGCTTTGGAAGTAACAAGCTGCAGCACAAGAGGCCTTCTCGTTACAATGCCTGACCCTCGAGGGAGAAAGTCCCTAAAAATAAAAGAAGGAACAGATTAAGGCATATTAAGGAATTCTGATCACCTATAAATGTACAAATCAAGTTCCACAGAAATTCTAATTCTCAACCTTTCAATGCATCACATATCTGAAGAATGCTAGACCCACCTTATAAAAGAGACATTTGCAAAATAAAAAAGGGGGTGGGGGTGGGGAAGGGTCCTTATACTGAATATATACTGAATATCACGTGCATTATCATAATGACCTCACTGGAATATGTAATTCATTCATTTAGCTGGAATTAATAAAAGTTTGCATTAAACTACTGTGTATTGTCAATTCATTTTTATTTTCAGAGAACAAGGATTTACAAAAATATTTGCTGTGGAAGTTAATCCTTAAACTCTTTGGTAATTGAAAAATTCATCACTCCGTCCAGCTTCAAGATCAATATTAACACCATAAAATACTGACCATTATAAGAGGTAATAAAGGCACATTAGATTGTATCTTCTAAATACCTAAATTTTTTCTCCAATAAAAGGTCATACACAAAATGTGGGATTAAGCAGAGATAAATATTGCATATGTAGAAATTAACAGCAGAAAAAATACTGCAATTTGATTTTTGTTTTTTCTCATTCCCGATAGACAGGAGCTTATAAAAAAGGAGATTTTTCAAATAAATATTGTGTTTAAAATGGCATGTTAATATACACTAAACCAATAAAACTGCAAAGAAAGTATTTTATAATTACATCTATAATGCCACATAAATCAGTACTGATTCTGCAATGTCAAAGAGAATTCATAAACATACCTATAACACTGTTTTTAAAGACATTTAGAATGACTCACAACTTTTAGAAGCATCATCATTTTAAAAATCACAGAATTCCATTCAAAATAAATTTCTGACTCAATGGCAATGTTTCCCAAAAAGTGGTTCCAGGACCACCAGAAAGTGTTATAACCACAGACACCCAGGATCCATTCTGAACCTACAGATTCAAAATGTTTGGGGAAAGATGTGGCATCTATACTCTTAACAAACTCCATGGGATTCTGATGTTCACCATGGTTTTTTTATTGAGTCCAAGCTCGCTCTGCATGCCGCACAACAGGCTAGTGAATAGGAGATGAGGTGTTGAGGCAAGGAATAGCAACTTTGTTCAGAAATCCTGCAGACAAAGAAGATGGCGGACTACTGTCTCTGAAAAACTATCTTATCTGGGTCTGGATGCCAGTTTCTTTTATAGAATCAGAGACGGGGAGGTGATGAGGAAGTAAAGTAAAATGGCCATAAGTTTTGCAAATATCACCTGGAATGGCCAGCCTCCAGGAGGGGATGTGTTAATTTCTTCTTTCTTGCAGCCATCCACAGGTGGACAGGGTCAGGATGTACAAAGGCACTTTGGTTTAACATTCAGGCAGAGGGGCAAGGTTACCTGAGGGAGGCCATTATGGATGATTATAATAACAAAAACAACGGAAAGCGGGCTTCCCTGGTGGCGCAGTGGTTGAGAGTCCGCCTGCTGATGCAGGAGACACGGGTTCGTGTCCCGGTACGGGAAGATCCCACATGCTGTGGAGTGTCTAGGCCCGTGAGCCACGGCAGCTGAGCCTGCGCGTCCGGAGCCTGTGCTCCGCAACGGGAGAGGCCACAACAGTGAGAGGCCCACGTACCGCAAAAAAAAAAAAACAACGAAAAGCAAAAGTCAAAGAAACAGATCAAACATGGAGTCCAATTTAGCTCTTCCCTGTTACAGTTTGAGAACCACTGGCCTCAAGTTAGGAAATGTTACTTAACGATTTAGTGGGTAATAATGGCATGGGATATACTATGAGTTTT